AAAAAAAATTTGCAATGGTCTATATTCAAAAGGCTCTATTTGTAAATTTTAATTGACTTTAATTAAATTAATATAACTACTTAGACTTATAGCTACCTTGCCCCAGTCACTTCAAGTGAATTCTACGGGAGGAGGGGGACATTGAAAATCCCTGGGTTTACTTGGTAAAAGCAAGAATTGAACCATGCATTACATGTATATGGAGAGCAGTTTTAAATATATTTTATCATGCAAATACCTTGATAATTGTTCTTAAACGTCTTTGGCTTAGAATGGGTACACCCTCCAAAGGTGTTTATTTACAGGGTCCAAAGGTGTAAATATACACTGTCCAAGGTGTTAATATAAACAACAAAAACAATGTATATAATTAAATTTTATTAAATAAAATGTGGAATATTTTACAAATTGCATTACCATCCCAAAGTGTACATAATTTATCAATATAATTAGGACGTAGAAGCTGTTCACATGAGTTTGACTCTGACCCAGCACCCTTGGCTAGCTCCCCTTGCCCGATCATAAGTAGAAAACCTCCAACCCCCTCTGACAAATCAGTCCAGATCTGCCCAAGAGGCAGGATTTTCTGGAATATTATTAGCAGTGAAATTGTTGCATATTTTCAAGCATGCATTGTAACCTGATTTTAAAGCCTGTTTGAACATCAGACATTGTGGCAATGGCAAGATGGTCCAGCCATATGAATACAATCTTAAAATATCATAAATAAACAATGCAATTTATGGCCAGACAGCCCAACTCCTGCGAACAGCCCTTTATTACACATTCGAAGCATCTCTTGAGGCATCAAAGTACATGCAGGCAAATGGAATTACATACGAGTATGTGACATAAGCCCGCCATTGCACAACTTTGTCTGCAACAATGCAAATACAACAATGAAATTAAAATCAAGCTGCAAACGGATTTTATCAGTATTTTGATATATACATTATGGCTCATGTATAAAGACACCTGGACTTTCATATTGAAATTGTTCTAATATCATGATGATATTAGAACAATTTCATTATCATCCAAACAAAACACATCAGAAAACTGTAACATCAGCCAAATGAGCAAATCACTTTTTAACACAATTTATGGTAAAATGAAGCAACATGTAATAGTATCTGAAACAAAACCAAATCACATATTATTCAAAAGTTGTAAACACTGTTGCATATATAATATAACAAAATATCGTCGCATTTCTAGTGGTAACTAACTATATATTAGGCCAATTTAAACTCGACTATGAAGAATATCAAAAACTAAAGGTCATGTTTCCAGACCTCTCAACTTTGCAGAGAAGCTAAGAGGGAGATTGGGGATGTGGATGACACCTTTATAAAAGTCCGTGGGTCTGAAATGGCATTTCGTACATGATGAGAGTTGGCCGTTTTTTTAATGAAATACATTGCTTCATGACGTCCTTTAAGATAAGGAACTTTAGTTACAATAATTGTATTTCTGCGACATACACAGTGGCGCGCCAGACCTTCATTTTTGGGGGGCGAAGCGAACGCCGAAGGTGCGAGACCATCTAGTGGGTTCCCCCGGGGAAATTTTGAAATCCATAGAGTCCCTGAAATGCGATTTCAAGCATTTTGGGGGTGAAATCTTGCAGAATTCCGAAGATTATAAAGTACATCGAAGACATAAATTTTCCCAGACATTTCTAATTTTCTACTCGGAATTAAATAAATTGGAACAGTCACCTTGAAAAACAGGAGGAGCCGGTCAGCGTCACCTTATTTCCCCTCTGTGATGCTGCATGGGGTAGAAAATCCCAATGTGATTTTGATCAGAAATGTTGCATTTAAACGATACAGAATAAGTCTGAGAAGAATATTCATGCTATGATAATGCATACATGTAAATCTAAACTAAATCTATTCTTCTTGGAACCATATCTACAACTGCTTTAACGAGATTTTACAAATCAAGTTCCTCCAGTATATCGTCGTTTTCCTCAGTCGAGACGTACTTAATCAGTTTCAGCTTCGAGGATGTAACGTGTACACCCCCCCCCCCCAATTTCTCTACGGATTTAGCCTTTTTCAGAGAATCGCCCACCCCCCTCCCCTTGGCTACGCCACTGGACATACAGTAATGAGCTTTAATTTGCCTTTGATAATTTACATATAGAATTCTGCTCCGACTGATTCTGCCTTTTGTCCGCCGTATTTACATATGCGTACTATTTTGTATCCAAATTGCGGGCAAAATGTCGGGCCGTATATGCAGGAACATGAATAACACGCGATTATATTTTCGATTTCCGATCCGTATAATGATTAATAATGTGCCTTTTAGAATACAATATTATATTATTGAAAAAATACTATGAAACTGCTATATGCGTGAGATTTACTAAACGTGGCGTGAGAGCGTGAGAGTGAAGCGAATTGCGTGAGACTCACGCCGAATGCGTGAGAGTTGAGAGGTCTGTGTTTCAGTTTATAAACCCAGACTTTAGTTTTATAAATATAAACATTATAAACGCTATACGAAGCCAAATATGAAGGCGCAGACACCGTTTGCCCTAAATACTCGGTCAGAGCCTCAGAGGTGTGTTCTAGTACACAATTAATCTCGTTTAAAACAAACAATAATACTAACCGTCGACAAATTGTGTATAAATCTTATCGAATTTAACCATTTTGCCACAGATTTTGCCAAAAATATTTCTTAGACGGACAAAGTATTAATAATGGACACTCCTTGCATGAAATATCAATTTATCCCAAAGTTTGAATAAATTAATCCAAGATTGCATTATTTGCATAATAATATACTTGTCATTGACCAATCAGAATACATAGAAGACCGGCCCGTGCCAGGGCTTTTTCCCGCCTTCCCAATGACAAAAGGGAAAAGCCCTGGGAACGAGGTTGGCTGGGGGGGGGGGATCCCAATGTGATTTTGATCAGAAATGTTGCATTTAAATCATTTTAGGTTCTATATATGAGACACCACTTCCGCATCATCTCAGTATCAAGTAAATCAACTGCAATTCTGACAGCAATCATGAGCAATTCTGCTTCGCACTTCGGGGGCAGAAATGGCTTTACTGGGGGGGGGGGAATTCTTTCCCTGGGGGAGGGTAATTGCTCCCCCCCAGATATATAGTTAAAAAAACCACTGGCTTGGTCGAACACTTCGGCCAAAAGTATTAACAAGCTACAACTGGTACAAAACTTCGCGTGTAGGATCGTGACAAATAGCAAGAAGTTCGATCATATCTCACAAAAACTGCAAGAACTGAATTGGCTTCCAGTTAAGGAACACTTACTTTTTAGAGATACAGTTTTGATGTACAAGTGTATTAACAATCTAGCCCCACCTTACTTGTGCAATAAATTTAGTAAACGATCGAATATACATGAATGTAACACTCGTAACCGAGGGCTCCTCCAAATACCGATTTATAATACCACCACTGGCCAGAGAACATTACATTATAGAGGGGTGAAACTGTGGAATGATCTGGACAATAACACGAAACAAATGCCATCTTTGAGAAGTTTTAAGAATAAATTAAAGAAAGACATGTTAGACAGACTGTATTCTTAGTAATGGACTATTTTAATAATAGAAGATTTTTCCTAGTGAATTTTTATATATGTAATATGTTAATCACCATCCCATGAAAATTAGTCGGTTGAAAAGCCTCTTTGAGGAACACAATAAAGTATATGTACGTATGTATGTATGTAATATGTATGTACATACGTCATACTGTATATACATATAAGGCCATCTATACCATATATAGTAGGGACGCTATCGTGCATTTGGGATCTTTTCATGAGGGTCTTCTCAGGTACCGGTAATGCCAAGTATTATAGGAAATCGTATACGCAAATCTGACGCAAGCACATTCATATTGGTCTTATACATACAGCCGTTAAAATTTCAGTTTAGTGAGCTAGGTTTCTGTTTCGGCTAACGATATTACGATCAGTGTGAACTTACATTGTGGTTAACAGAAAAGAAAACAGCAGCTACATCAACGAGTCTCGAAGTTCTGTTATCTTGAATAATCGTTTGTCTACCTAAACCTCGTCTGGTAAGTTGTTTCTGCATGTTATTTCTCTATCGAAAGTAGATATAGAGAAAATCAAACGATTGATGAAAATTTGACATCAGTTAACCGTATTGTCGTTCATTTTTGTGCGGGATATAATCGCCAGTTTGCCAGAGCGCCAGTTTTGCCAGTGGCAAGTAAAGCCGTAAAGGAATTCGTTGTTTTTCTTTAAAACCATATCGTATACTGAACTTAACTAAGCGTACTGCTTTGTTTCAGAGAATTAAAACAGAAATTACTTTGACGCAAAAGAAAATGCTGAAATATATTGCGATTTACGATTAAGTTAAAATTGCAATTCTATATACTAGATTATACATGCTCTTCGTTCAATCTGGTTTGTTATGCGACCTTTGTCAGTTTGTCTTGCATATGAAAGATTTATTACTGTATATATGATCACACCATCTTACATAACAAGTTATTGTCTTTGTCTATTGCTCATATTTGTTGAGGAAATATTGTTATAATACTTTGATATTTCTAAACCAGAGATTCGAATTTCAAAATACCTGCCCTGAAGCAGAACTGCGATAACAACGAGCCGGTAATGTGGCACTTGAAGTGTCACGCATTTAATCAAACATTATCAGTAACATAACAATGAAATATTTTGAATAGTTCAACTTCACGAAAATATATTCATTTCATTTTCAGTCATTTTGTGTAAAGCTATTATATATATATATATATATATATATATATATATATATATATATATATATATATATATATATATATATATATATATATATATATATATATAATTCTTTAAAGAGGGGGTACAGTCCGTACTGCGCATGTGCGAGATGTTTGTTTTCTGGGGACTCCACCGGAACTTAATTTGTTGTTCCCAGGCTTTCTAACCTATGCGCGCCGCGCGTTTTGTTTATAGCCAATATTAAAAATGGCGGATCGCACTCCCTCTCTGCCTTCCACATCTAAGGAGAGTAGAAAGGAATATTACAAGATTAGAGATGCTTCTAAAGTTTATTTATTCGGTGTTTTTCAACGATGGAGAGAATTTAGAGATGCCAATAATATAAAAACGGACAAGGACGCCGCTGAAGTTTTGCTCGATACATATTATAATTCGAAGTCGAAGAACTCATGGTAAGATAATAAAGATTTTTATACTAGAATATTTTACACAATTATAATGTAAACTTTGACTTTGTATCTAAAATATTTTTGTGTTTTTATATTGTCTTACATCTAAAATTTTTAATATTTCCCTGATGCTTTAGTGTTAGTGTGGAGAGCCAAACTGATCCTGAAGAAGTGGGGCCTGTTTCATCGACTGCTTGTCTGCAAGAAATTCAACCAATTACTCCTCGTTCAGGCCCACAGACTAGACAAGCTGTAAGAGATAGTTTACCTTCCCCAGGTAAGAACTTGGATCCTAAGATTTTTAGTGTGAAAAATCATGGTTAGGGTGAAAAATCATATTTACAGTACACAGTAAACAAACATTTTATTATTTTGTCTTTACACTGTATTTATAATATGTTTCTAAATTGTATAATTTTTACAGTGTTGACCTCTACACCTCGCCCTTGTGCATCTGGTTTTACCAGAACAAGCAGCTTTCCATCGCCTGGTAAGTTTACTGCTTGATGGGTATTGGGTAAAATGACTTAAAAATTAATATACTTTGATGCTAAAGTTTAATTTTTGCCTACCCTCTTTCATTTGTAGTTAGCGACATAAACCCAGTGTCACCATTAGCTCGCTCAAGTAGACGGAGTTTACTTTGTGAGAGTTCACCACTGTCGTCAAGATCTACGAGGATTAGAGAAGTTCCTGTTGATATCAGGTTTGTAAACACATGAAATACACTCTATATAAAGATCAAAATTTAACTGATACATGTATCTGTGTGCGATATTATTCTCATGTATGAAGTATTATTCTCATGTATGAAATATTATTCTCATGTATGATATATTTTCCTAGCCCACTTGAGGAAACGTTGACAGCCAGTGATGAAGACTCGGGAAGCGATGATGATGGCAGTCTTGAGACAACTCTGACAGCAACATCCTTATTGCCCATTAATGAAAATTATGAGTATGTTATCACTTTTAAAGTTGTATAATTTGACATAAGTACAAATGAGAGAAAAAGCTTGTGAAAAAAAGTACAGTATTTCAGACACTACAGACAACTTTCATATACTGTACATACTGTATATATAAAGGATTATATACTGTATTCATTGGGATATACATGTACCATTAATTTTCTATGTATATTTTAATTTAGATTGCCTCTGGCTGAGACATCCATCGAGGAAGAAGTATTTAACACCAACCTAGGTGGCCATGACGATATTGGTGAGCATGAACAACAGCTGACTGGTAATGGGGAATCTGATAGCACTGGATACACCTCTTCAGTACAGGGAGTGACCCCTGACAAAGCTGTCCAGATGGAGAAGTGTATTGTGTTTACAGATACTCTCGTGTCATTACTAAAAGAATTGCATGGGAGTATCTGTAAACGGCAGGGATGTGGTCGTTTGCTTGAGTATCAAAGACGATATCTTGGTACTTGTCTTGTTGTATCCTGGCAGTGTAGTGCTGGTCATCGGGGAGGAAGATGGGCAGCGCAACCAACCTGCGAGAAAATCAGAGCGGGCAATCTCATGCTCGCATCTGCATTATTGTTGTCTGGCAACTCATTCACAAAAGTGGGGTTGATGTTCAGATTCTGCAATATACAGTATTTTTCTAAAACACTGTTTTGTCAATACCAGAGTCTGTACATTGCCCCTGCTGTGAATGAGTTTTGGGAGCAGCATAAGCAGGAGCTATGGGATCAAAAATCTGGACAAGATGTCAAACTGAGTGGTGATGGAAGGAATGACTCTCCTGGACATTCTGCCCAATATTGTACCTACAGTTTGGCTGATAATGATGATTGTGCAATTCTCCAGATGAACATAGTTGATGTTCGAGAAGCAGCTGGGAAGAGTAATAATATGGAGAGGATCGGCTTTGAAAGAGGAATGGATAAGCTTTTAACATCCCAAATGTGTATCAAGGAGGTTGTGACTGATGGTCATTTAGAGATTGCAGCTCTAATGAGTAAGTGGCCCTGTACATTTGTGTAGCAAAAATATAATATTCTATTTCCTTGGGAATGGAAAGAGAGATCTACGGTACGGTACCATGTTGCATGCTCACCCAATGCCACACCATTCTGGCTAGTACAACTAGAAGTTTTTATCAGTTTTTTTTATGGTGAAGCGCTGGTTGTATTAGCTAGGATGGTTAATATGGTGTGGATTTATGCCTGTTCACTCTTATAAACACACACAAATTTTTCCTTAAGTGGCATTTCTGTGGTGATGGTTAGGCAAACATATTATGTTGTTGCCATGGAAATAATGTGCAACAGAAAGCTTTGAGTGAGAAAAGTGTAGTAATTCATAAATTCTGTAATGTCAATTTTTAGAATCAGCAGACAAATATAAAGAGATAAGGCACCAAAATGATGTTTGGCATGGCGGAAAGTCGTTAAACAAGAAAATCAATGCTGTAAGATTTGATTAAAAGACTTGAAATTCGATTAATTAATATTTAACAATTATTCTCTGAAGGTGAGGTGATTATCATATCGGTGAATAAAAACCGAGATTCAGTCAAGGTTTTTATTCACGATAATTACCGAGCCTGAGGCGAATAATTGTTTTATATAATTTCATAGGTGATTATTTGGAAAAATACATGTGTATTTCACTTAATTTTACAAAAAAGTCTTTGTCTGCCATTTTGAAAGTCACTTACCAGGTGATTATCACGTTTTAATCACCTCAATGGCAAACAATCAGCGTGGAGAATTCTCAGTAATCACCTATGTAATTATCACCTCGATGTAATTATATAATTAATAATAGTTGTTAAAAATAGGTACGTTGTGTACTGTACCACTGTTATGTACATTTTTTCAGTAAGCATAACCAGATCTGTAAGAAGCTACAAGGTTGAGTCTTCAGGTGCTCATATGCAGCCGACTACCTGCAAGATTTGAGTGTCAAACACGTCATATTATTATTCAAACACATAGTTTATTATTAGGCAGCCAAAACAAAAGCAAATGAAGACCTTGCATTGTGGGCACCATCTGTCCGAAATCATTTTTGGTATTGTTCCAAAAACTGTGAGAAAGATGTCAAGAATATGAAGGTAACAGTGTTGTAACAGATGAGCAATAGTTGGCTGGCTTCCTACTAAAACAGATCCATGGATATCAAAACAAGTTGATCTGTATAAAGCAGCTTTTGAGAGGTTTCATATAACTTTGAGGCGGTTGGTGCGGCGTGGGAGAAAAATTAACGGCCCCTTACTGTATGTGTGTTTTTAAAATACCTCTATTCTTGCTGTTTATTATGTAGGATAAATGGATTGGTATCTTACACCATGTTGTGAATGAACATGTATGGATATTGGAAGAAGGCTCCAATGGTGCCAAATGTGACCACGATCCGCTGACGCAAGAAGAACGGAACAAACCATGGCTGAAGAAAGGATCACAGGCACACAAAGCTTTGACAAAGATTGTTATGGATACACGATTCCTGAATACATTGAAATACTACACATACTTCAGGTAAAAAAGACAATCATGTAAATAATGGTTAGTAATGCTTTATTTACTTTTTAGATTGAAAGTTGAAACCATGGCGTACTGTAGTTGTCTTACCAGTTGTGTGTTTCTATTAGTCTGGTATGTACAGTCTGCACCCTGACAATATGACATACAACATAATATATTACAATTATGCTATAACTTACTGTAACTGCATGCATGGTTTTTTATAACTTCTGGAAAACAAACAATTTATCTCCATTTTCACATCTATATAGGCACACTGGATTCTTGGAATCGTTCCATAACCATATATTAATGTATGCTGCAAAGCGTCAATCTTACACGTATGTACAGTATGAGTATCATGTTTGTTTTGTATTGTCACTATTCAGTGATTCTATTGTATATTGGTATACAAATTTATTTTTTATAATTTAAGCAATTAGATTACAAACACAGAAACACTATAGATTTCTATCACTATGTCTATGGTGGTAAAGCCCAAATTAAATATCACTTCTTGGAAATCGAGAGAGTGAATAATCTAACTGCTTCCGTAAAAAAAGGAGTAAGAAAACAAGTTTCAAAAAGTTTTTGATAATTTAGTAATAAAATTGTGAAGAAGTAAACCAAAAAGATGGCTGTTGGTTATATTTTTACAGTATCAATAAGTAGTGACATACCGTGCAGAAAGTGACTACAGTATAATGTGAGTAGTTTTTACTAAAACTAAATACAAGTTTATCCCTATCTTGAATCATAGTTTGTTGGATATCGTCTCCGGAACCAGTTGGCAGCTATTGATTTTAACCACCACAGGAACAGAGATGTAGCAACCACAGCAGATGGTCGACCAAGGTATTGTACTGTATGTTTAGAAATATTTATAATTACTGAAAGTGATACAATATCCTGATTTATCTAGTAGTTACTAGTTAAATGTACCCAAAAGGCAAAACCGAGATATGTTTAATTCACTATAGTGTCAACCAATACACATTACGCCATCACTTTCTGATATAATTGCTACCAAGCATCTTTGCAATTAAATTTAAAAAAAAAATATTTAGGATGGGGCGTAAGTTTAGCAAGAGGTCAAAGCAATGGTGTGCTGTTAAAGTGTTGGAACCCAAAGAGTACTCTTACATTGAGATGCTCTTTCTAAAGATTTTTGAGAAGAGAGCCAACTCCACAGGTGGTGTGAGTCAAAGAATTGGTATTCTGGAGGAAGATCCGAGGAGAATTGCACCAAATATATCTCTCATCCCTCCTCCTTCCGTACAATCACTTGTAGAGGCCCATCAATCAAGATTTTAAATTTGCTAGTGAGCATTTAAATTTTTAAATGAGGGCTTCAAATTTGAAATCTACTTTGATACCTAAAATAGCAGTATTTAAAATTTATAGAACTAACAAGGCAAATTGATAAATTTGAAATGTGGTATCCTGTGGGTATTAGAATACTTTAGAAATTTGAAACCCTAAAAATGAAAATGCACTTTAAATCGAACAGTATGCTTAATGTAATTAGTTGTATTGTAAGATGGTTGGTATTTGTAGACCTAACCGGGAACATTGCAAAAAATGCAACTTACAGTAGCTCCTCCTGTAGGAATCAAACCTACGCTTCGGTAAATATTGTGCAGTACTCTCAATCACTAAGCTACAAAGTCAGTCAGACAGCACCGAGCGGAGGAACTCTTGTGATTGGTTCCTATGCCTAAATGGGCAAAGCGAGTATACCTCAAGCCAAGCCATGCAAACATGTTAGTTTTTCTTATAGAAAATTTATGACCACTATATACATTAACAGTCGATCTGCCCAAATGCACCCTACTTTAGTATTTACTCTGTCTAACGCCAGACAGTTTTACTTGTCAGTGGTAGAGTACTGGTGGTTAATGGGTTAAATGGCTTAGGAGAACCACAACTTTCGGCAAAGCGTTGACCCTTGAACAACATTGCATAATGTATAAGCCTGTACTGAGAATTGGACGTAACAAATGCCACAGAAGCCCATTATCGATGTTTATAGTAGGTTATCGAACAATCTGAAAGACGGGGGAAAACTTTGAAGTTTTGAGGAAAGGCCTAAACAGCTGTTTATCGAGAATTTGGTATTTTTACTAGATTTCTTGACAAATGGTATTTGCTCAAAATTTCAAAGAAAGTGTCCTCCTATTTTCAGGTAATAGATTATTTACTTTAATATGACGTCACTCTTGGCACATGATGGTCAAAGAAACGCAGTTACCGTAGTGGATTACAGTAGTTGTTCACTTACTATAAGTATTGACCTTTTTCACTTTATACCTAACGGTACATGATACATATACGGTTGACCACCATGTGTTTCCCTGCATATAACACCTTTAGAAAACTAATTCGATAACCTACAATAAACAGTGATTAAATTTTTTTATTTCTACTGGTTTTGGCACCCATGGCATAAGAATATTTATTTACAATCTAGCTGGCCTATAACCAGTACAAATTCCATTAGGAGAAGGGTAACGGGCTCGTATAGCTGTCACACAACAACTAGGCACAACCCTTCTGTTGCCTCTTCCTAAATGCCCATGTTGCCAAAGGACAAACTGCCTGTAAGCTGCATGACGAAAATTTTCATTGTTACGGGCATTGTCTAAAACCAACACATCTTCCCTGTACCGCATGGCAATGTCAAGAATGTTAGCATCCAATACAACCTGTAGGAACGATGTTGTTGTGACACATGCACGCCTTGATTGGGTACAACACCCCACCGGGCACACGACGTTGTTTCAACGTTGAAATTTGGTAGAAAAAAGGTTGCGACGTCGACAACCTAATATCTACGTTGCTCTGACGTTGTTTTACAAACATTGGTTCAACAGCAGCCAACAGACGTTGAATTAACGTTCATTCATGGTTAAATGTACGACGTCGATTTGTGAACCAATCTCGACGTTGTTTTAACGTGGATTCAACGTTGAATTATGGTTGACGAGATTGGCAACCTAATTTCAACGTTGTTTCAACGTCGAAACAGTAACGTCGATCCAATTTGCATAGTCAACCCTTTTTCAACGTCTATCCAACGTCTGGAAGGTCATTTCCAACGTTGATTCAACGTTGGATAAACGTCATTTTGCCCGCTGGGACTTGTTTTCTTCCTGTGTAGGCATTACAACACAGTGCCGTAGCAAGCTCGATAATTGGGGGGGGGGCTGATATTCATATATTCGTGTTCTGCGTTATTAATTTCTTTTGAAATCGATTGTTTATATGGTCTGTGAACACGAATATATGCATATCAGCCCCCCCCCCCCAATTATCGAGCTTGCTACGGCACTGCAACACAATGCCCACACTTGCACCACTCTGGCACATTTTCATTTGGAGGGGGATTTGGCGGATCTGCAGGTAACCCATCTCCAGCAGCAAGTTCTCCATTAACTATGTCAGCAAATGCTGCTGGTTGTCGTCGTAGCAACTCTAAGGCCAACCTCCTCAGATCATCCACATTAAGGCCCTCCACAAGATTCTACAATAAAAAGATAATTGTCTTCAATGTGTAATATATTAATTATTTAATTTACTGTCATAAGGATAAGCCAACTGTCTTGTTCAACCTTTAGGTTGTTATATTTATCTTGTTATTCTTGTATCAATTTACATTATTGACTTTGTAAATATTAGTTGTTAATTATTGTACTAAATCTATTTTGGTCTATTACTCTATTCTGATATAATGAAAATAGTATCTAATTGTAACATGGATTTTTTTGTTACAGCAAAAATGCTGTAAATGATCACAAATGAAAGTGCATACTCTAATTTTCAAAACACAAATTCTTTGTTTTTGCTTATTAGCTTATATCAAATTACTATAAAGGAATAACTCTTTAGTAACACTTTCCTTCTGTTATGGGGTCGGCAGGAAGTAAGTCAGGTTGATACTGTACGAGGCAAACAAAAAAGTTTCTCGGACAGCCTGGTGCCCACTTAAACACAGTCCCCCAGCAGTGTGTGAAAAACATGCCTTGTCACTAAATTACTAAATATAAAGCATTACCACTAATTGTTCTTCATGATTGGCCTGATTCTGTGCTGCATTTTCTTCAGGCACAAGCTGTCTGCGACCTCTTCTTGGTCTTGCTTGTGAAGAATCTGCACCTTCAACTCTCCCTTGTCTGCTGCCCCGTCCTCTGCCCCGTCTTCTATCTTGTCCTCTGCCCCGTCCTCTTCCTCTGCCCCTTCCTCTGCCCCGTCCTCTGCCCCGTCCTCTGCCCCGTCCTCTGCCCCGTCCTCTGCCCCGTCCTCTGCCCCGTCCTTGTTCATTATTATTCAGCTCATGGCCAGCATAGTCAAGCTCTTCATCATTGTCATACTCAACTTCATCTCTTCCTTGCAAAGAGAAGTTGGAGCCCTATAACAATCAATTGGTTGCAAAACGACATTATGTTACAAGTCTTAGATTATTTTATACTGTATCCATTGCCTTTGATTATGCCTGACATACAGTATTAAATTTTTTATCATAATAAAATAGAACAAAATAATCTCAAATTCAAATTAATAGTTAGATTCCACATTGCAGCCATAGGTCGACTCGAGATTCAGGCACAGTATTACTATTGAGAATATAAACGAAGTTCCATGATTGAACATCTATAAAAACTGCAAAATATTTGGCTATTTCATGATAATAATATAATGACAAGCGAATGCAGACACTCAGTATCAGCAATCATATTTATATATATTAAATATATATACATATCAGTTTACTTTATGATCTGTACCAGACCAGACGCCGAGATCGTATTTTAATGATATTTAGATACGGTTCAAATACTTCATAATATAAAGTTCAAATACTTCATAATATAAAGTAAACATCACATGGTCTGCATTTATAATGATTCCGGCGATTACCATAAATGCAATTAGTACAAAAATGTGGTCTGTAAAGTGTCTATTTATCTTGTTATATATATATATATTAAACGGTACAAACCGAATAAGAGTTCATCCTTATCGTCGTATCTTCTGAACTGTCGCTATCACTCTCATTGACCCTTCGACTGTTCATGCAAGCCTCGCCGAAATCGTCGCCGTGGCAAGCGCTCGAACAAAACTTGTTAAGACTCTTACACGGACAAAAGTTTCTTCCCCTTTCTCGAAGACAATGGCCACGGCATGTACACGTTGTAATATTGTAAACGTTAGGCAACGTCGCTAACTCCTCTATCTGACTGATTTCCAAGTCTTCAAGCGTTAAGCTTTCTTCCAATGCGTCAGCCATGATGCACAAATTTATCACGCGCGCTGCTTTATGCAAATGAACACTTCATGTTATATTCATTATGTTGATCAAAACAAAAACAAAAAAACTGGCACATGCGCAGAACGGACTGTACCCCCTCTATAAGAAAAGTTTTAGTTATGATGGAAACAACAGCAAAAACGGTTCTTCAACTGCCTAAAACAGACAAGAAAACTTCTCGATGTTTCGACCTAAGTGCCTTCATCAGGAGAGTTAATTATGATGGGGCTAAACTATGGAATTCTTTGCCGTTAGATCTACGTGATTTAAATAATTTGGCATTGTTTAAAAAGGGAATCAACGCATGCAACTTCTGATTGTACTTATTGTACTTATTAACAATAATGTACTTGTAATGTAATTATGTATTTTGTACTTTCTTTGTATTATATATTGTCTTGTCTTCATGAAAATTTTGTTCTTTTGTTTTACATAGTTATGATACACACGAGCCTCGTGGAAACCAGCATTTGTTGACGGGGCTAGCGTGTGGATTTTCAATAAAGTTTCTACTACTTTTACTACTACTAACACGAGTGAACACAAGTCAAAAATGGCAATCACGAGTGAACACGAGTAAAAAAATGGCGAACACGAGTGAACACGTGTCAAAAAATGTATTTGTGAATTTAATGGCATGCACTAGCAGACTGGCCCTGTCCAAAAATCTCTTAGTCCTTGTCTCCTGCGCGACATGACTAGTTTCAAGAAACTTTTTCTCCGGCCAGGTATATGGGAGCCATTTTGAATCGTCATGCGCTGTGGTCTTAAATACGTACTTGGGGTTAATTTATAGAGTTAAACGTTAAATTTTATAATCATTTTCCTACAATTTCTCAATTTTACACTAAAATTTTCAAAATGTGCGAGGCCTCTAAGAGAAAGTGTGAGTCAAAAATGGCGATCACGAGTGAACACAAGTAAAAAAATGACGAACATGAGTGAACACCGTTCAAAAAGTAATGTATAGTAACCGTATCGTAACAAATCGTAGTAGTGAGCTTAAGCAAGCGACGTTTTTGACGCCACGGACGTCAGATTTCCGAGAGGGGTCTGGATTGTGCCAGTTTGTGATGATCATTAACGAATATAGCAAAACGTGAGGTTTTTAATGTCTATGGCGTCCTTACACGAGCGTCTCGATGAAATACGCCGCAACAATTAGGAATCTGACTTCACCGTGACGTCGGTGTTCACAAAAACGTCGTTCCTTAAGCTCACTATTATCGTAACATGGTATCCATAACATAACCAAAGGTCGAACCATTGCACCGCCAAAGCTAAGGGTCGCATTATTTCGGTTCTGGTCAAGTCGTAGTTAGGGGGAGCAATCTTATCTCAATAGTCAATACGTTATAAATGGGTTTCAGATAAGTGTTTTAAATGGCGTTGTAGTCAGTTTGACACTCAGGCACTAATGGCGCCCGAGGGGCTGGAAAAATACCTAAATTTTCGCAAAGTAAGACGATGCAAAAATACTTTTGAGATTTCCCACCAGTATTATATACAGGTGGGAAATGTCAATTTTTCAAACAGATTTGATAAAATTTGTTTGCTATCTGACGAAATTTCAATAGTCATTTCATTGTTGTGGTTATTTCAATCCACGCTGGACATATAAGCATTGAAGAAAGCATCCGATAACAAACTAGCATTCATTAAACAGTAATCTTAGAGGACCAGGATATTTATGAGTACAGTTCAAGTCGAGCTAGGGGTACGTCTTACGGATTAGGATCGGGGTTAGGGGTTAGCGACTAGTGTTAGAGCGTTAGAGGTTGTTGGTAACTTGGTGTTTTGGGATTACGGTCGGTAGCCTCTCAGCTTCTCAGAACAGCCATGTTGATTGGTTCGCTTGACAATTGTTCTGGTATTCAGAACAATCAAATTTCTTCGTCCTTTAGAAGATCGTCGTCCAATTGCATGGAGGCTGACTTACGAGGCGTCTCTTTAGGGTAGGGGGTTAGCATTAAGGACAGGTCGGATGGGATTTAAAAAGTTTTCGTTTTTTTGTTGGTTATATTTATTACGCCTGACGGACTTTACGCTCGAAGCTAAACTCGAACTCGACATTAACTCAGATTAAGTCGACCTCATTTCAATATCCTGCCGTGATCTTTGATGGTGATAAATTTTTCCATTACATGTACGTATTTGCCACCAATCAAAAGTCAAAAGCCTGAGGAATTTAAATATCACTCGATCTGATAACTGATTGTCTTTCTTTTAAGAGTCGAGTACAATGTGCTGCGCTTTCTAGCTTGCTTACGGAAATCCATCTATATGCTATAGGAAATTTATTAATATAAAAGGGATGTACTGATTTGTAATCTCTATTTATGCATGATGTAAATATAACCATGTGCTCTGCAAAATATAACCCTGTACTCTGCAAATTATCAACAAAAACATTCCAGTAGACTCAACCATTGGTGGCTCCAGTTACCGTTACAGAACAGTATAGATTGTGGTGTGTTTCAAAACTGTTTACACGTATCTAAGCGCAAGGAATTTCACTAGATCTCTCATATCTATTTATTTGCCCCAACACGTACCACGTACATTCAATGAAAGAATTTACCCGTTTTCCCACTCTGAAAAGTGGTCGACTGCTACAGTATTTTGGTAACAGGGGCGTAACACAGGGGTTATACACGGGGCTTGCAAAATCGCCTGCCCAACGTGCCGAGGCAACCAAAAATTTGTGTCAGGTAACTAAAATCTCTTGACTATAATGTCCAGACAGACAACCACACTTTTGAGTTTTGATCACTTTTAAAATTCTTTTTTCCTGTTGTTGTTTCGTCATTGGGTGTTAATAAAGCTGTGTGAAACGACGATTTGTCAAAATGTATTGAAAGTGAATGAAATATTGATGATGATAATAAAATTTTTTGACTAACTCAGCAAAGATAGCGATTGTATACATTTTTGTACTATTTCAGAACATTTCGCTAAAATTATCTAGTTTATTTACTTGAATGCGAGTTTGGACAAGTAAGAAATGGCCCTGGGCAATCAAATTAATTTTCAGTGTTGCCTGCCCCAAGGGCAACCACTTTTTTCAGAATTTTGCGAGCCCTGTTTATACATTGGGGGTTTGAATATTTTTCCCCACTAAAATAATCGGCGATCTCCCCCCTCCCCCCTTTGTTCCAGTCCTCGGCTTCACCCAACCTCGTACCCACGGCATTTTGCTTCCGGTCAGCGAAAATGGCCCTGGCATCGGCCGGTCACATGACCTCAAAATCTCCAGTATTTGGGGTGTTCAATTATGGTAATTTATGCGTATAAGTACGTATATAAAATAATGATATACATTGTAATTACTGACAGGAGTAAACAAACTCAATGCTGCGTATATATAATCAAAGGGAAAGCAACGAAATAAGTTGACTTTATTCGGTTTTCGTTGTTTACACCTCATTCAGCAACATAGCCCGATCAATTCTTGCTCAATTCTTAATGAACAACCAAACAAAACAAAACCGCTTCAGCGTTTGCCGTTTGGTTTATATAAATCGTGTTATGAGCAAATATATTCGTATCACAATCTTTGACTATAAGTATAAAGCTGTACGTTTCTTGAAATCGACGATGTATAAACAATGCATGTGAGAAATTTATGTTGAAACGAATCAAATACTCGTCTATACAAATGGACAAAGACTTAATTTTAATTTACTCAATACTTTAGTCCTTCAAGAACTAATTATAAATTTGTCACTCCACTCTCGTTTCACCAAAATAATAATTATTTCCCCCGTATATTGAATAATTATATTCAAAATCATTGACCAATCAGATTGCAAAACAGACCAGCCGATGCCAGGGCCTTTTTCGCTGACCATCCGACCGAGGAAGCAAAAAGCCCTGGGTACGAGGTTGGGCTTCACCGAAATGGAACAAACAGGTTATAAACTGCTCGGAACTTGAAATCCCGTCTTTTTTATGTACTATAAAACACGACCTGCGAGTTTTTTAAATGACTTCAAAAACGTTTGCATAATAAGTCAAATTATATTAAATTATTATTATATTAAAATCTTTATATAAAAATCTTTATATAGTTTGCATAACAATGGTCTTTTGTTAAAGTGTTCTTTAGCTGCATGGTATAAAGACGTATGCACGTGACTAATTTCTTACTCAAGATTGGATAATTGCTTCATGAATTATTAATGAGTTTTTGAAAGATATATATATATATATATATATATATATATATATATATATATATATATATATATATATATATATATATATATATATATATATAACTTGCTTGGTTGTTGAAGCCAAAACGAGTACAGTGCTCGATGCGGGAAATTCGCAGAGCTTAATATGTTGTTCAAAATGAAAAAAATTAAAAATAAAAAATTTTAAAAAATTTAAAAAAAATTAATGTGCTGCTACTTAAGTTACGTTTCACGTATTACCGAGTTGCTAACATAATGTTGCGATAAATACAGTATGACATTGCTTTGCTATAATGCACAATCTACTGCACGACCTTGCGTGATTGCAAATATGTTTATTTGTTCCAAATACCTTTAAGCTGATATACTCTTGTGTCAGAAAGATGTGTCATCTTATGCTGATAGATTTTGAAGATGTTTCATCTTACCTTAATCAGTTGAAGCTTAAAATTATTTGAATATATATAGGCATACTGTATGGAACTAAAATTTCTAAATTCCAATGGAATTTGAGTTGCTAACATGATGTTGCGATAAAAAAAATATGACATTGTTTTGTTATAATGCACAATCTACTGCATGATCTTGCATGATGACAATTAAGTTTATTTGTTCCAAATACTTTTAAACTGATATACTCTTGTGTCAGAAAGATGCGTCATCTTATGCTGACAGATTTTGAAGATGCTTCATCTTAAGGCCTGCTCTGGGACCTTAACTCGCCACGAGATAAGGCGAGCCTATGCGAGTTAAGGCGAGATAGGGCGAGTTAAGGAAAAA